ACAGGTTAGTAAATAAAAAGCCCAGTGCCAGGAATGAGTTCCCTCTTTTGGAGTTGTTGGCTAGGGCAGTGAAACTCCCATAGACTGTCAAACATTACTGGCTACTGTCATTGCTCTTAGTTACCATCCAGAACGTAACAGTAAGACCCTTTTGCTGAAGACACTACATACTTAAGCTACAGAACATGGAGAAATCAAGCTGGTACAGAGTTGGAAGCTTCATCCCTACTGGTTAACTTTCATAGTCCTGGAAAGCCCTATGCATGCTACTTGAAAAGTAATCATCTTTCCCCAGCTGTGAACCCTTTCAAGCTACAATAACTACTGGCCTGGCAAGATGTGACCATTGGTGCCATAGTAACACGAATATTATGGGAGTAACCAATCATCACTTTCTGACTGGATTTAAGACCTGATCCACAAGATGTAACCCATACCTAATACCATTAGTGGGGCCCAGAACCTGTGCACACATTGTAAGGCTATCAGGGAGAGGTTACTATTTTTCTGCTAAATGGACAAAGAATTAAATTGACTCCTAAGAACATCATTATATCCACCTCAACTCTGATCAGGGAAGCTTCTTTCTGCAGATGACAGTTAACACGAGACCTTCAAATGGTCAACATACAGAGAATGAGACTGCAGAGTGCTCATTCTGGGAGCACTCAGACATTTATATCACACACCTCCCTCCAAAACTCAGATTGTTGTGGAAGAGCAGGAAGATTGTAAGAGCCAAAGGTGGTGGATGACTTTGTTTTCCAGACACAATAGAGCAGATGCACATATGAACTCGCAGAAGTTGTGACAGCATGCAGAAGACCTGCATAAGCTCAAGCCAGACGAAATTCCAGTATGGACTGGGGAGGTGAGCGTGAAAGCCCCACCCCTAGTTGAGGAACTATTGGCAATTGATAGCTGCTGGGAGAGGGAGAGTCAGTTTCCTGTGGGTATGACCCAGTGTAGGTTGATGGACATTAAATATTTTTTAAAAAGAGGAAGGTTGGGGGTATAGGAAGGTGGGGTGGATCTGAGAGATGTTGTAGGGGAGTTTGAATACGATTAAAATACATTGTATAAAATCTCAAAAGGATCAATAAACATTAAAAACTGTTCTGGAGCTGGGGAAATGGTTCAGTTGGTAAAGTGTTTGCTCCATAAGTATGAACACCTGAGTTTGATCCCTAGCACCAACACGAAAAGTTAGAAGCGTCAGCACATATTTGTAACCCCAGCACTTGGGGAGGCAGAAACAGGTGGATCACTAGAGCTCACTGGGCAGCCAGTCTAGCTGAATTAGTGAACTCCAGGTTCAGTGAGCGACCATGTCTCAAAAAATGAGGTAGAGTGACTGAGGAAGACACACTAGATATTGATATCCATTCTACATATGCACGTATACACGCATTCACACATGCATGTGTGTATGCATACACACACACCATACAAAGTACAATGAAAAAAAAATCTGCTCTGAAAAAGACTGTCCAGAGAATGAGAAAAGGCACAGATTAGGAGAAAATATTCATGAATGAGTATGTGTAATAAAGACTGTTATCCAAAATACAGAGAGAACTCATAAGAGTCAACAGTAAGAAAAAAAATGCTGGGAACTGAAGAGATGGCTCAGTGGTTAAGACCATGTACTACTCTTGCCGAGGTCCTGAGTTCAATTCCCAGAACTCACATGGGGTGGCTCACAAGTGCCTATAACTCTAACACCAGGGGATCTAACATCCCTTTCAGCTACCTCAGGTACCTGCACTCACATGCACATATCCCCCCACCCCACATACACATAACTTAAAATAAAAAACAAATGCCCCATTTAAACACTGTCAAAAGATCTGCACAACTCACCAAAGACAGAGATATAAAATAAGCATATGAAAAGATTTTGGTTTCTCATGTCACTAGGAAAATGAAATACCATACACCCCTACTAGAAAAGCAAAGATACATAAACACTGGCAACACCAAATCTGGAGAGGATGGGAAGCAACATGAATTCTAACCCTTTGATGGTAGAATACAAAATGAAATAGCCGCTCTGGAAAAGTTTGGCAGTGTCTGACAAAATTAAATGCAATACATAAATGCTTTATTGTATTTACCCAAATGATCTGAAAACTGATGCATATACAAAACCTGCACGAGGCTGGGCGTGGTGGCGCATGCCTTTAATCCCAGCACTTGGGAGGCAGAGGCAGGCAGATCTCTGAGTTCAAGACCAGCCTGGTCTACATGGTAAGTTCCAAGACAGCTGGGGCTACAGGGTGATCCTGTCTCAAAAAAGACCAAAAAAAAAAAAAAACCCAAAAAACTCCAAAAATCCCACCCCCCCCAAAAAAAACGTGCACAAGGATACTTACAGCAGCTTTACTCATAGTTGCCAAAATTTAGAAGTAACCAATGTATTCTTCAATAAGTGAATGATTCTACTGTGATACATCCAGACAATAAAATACTATTTAGCACTAAAATGAGTTATTAAGACAGAGGAGAGGCCTGGGGATGCAGCTCAGTTGGTACAGTACTTGCTTAGCATACAAGAAGCCCTGAGTTCAATACAAAGCACCATATAAACTGGGAATTGTGGTGAATACCTGCAATCCAAAGACTTGGGAGGTGCAGGCAAGATCAGAATTTCAGGTCATACTCATCTACATTCAAGTTTCAAGCTAACCTTGGCTACATGAAACCCTGTCTTAAAAAGAAAGGGGATGGGGAGGGAGGGAAGGAGAGAGGAAGAAAGGCACGTGAGATACCTTGGTCAATGAAGGACCTTTCTGCCAAGCCTTGTGATCTGAGTTCAGTCAACATGGTGGGACCCACATGGTAGGAAGGGAGAACCAACTCCCAAAAGTTGTGCTTGGACCTGCACATGTACACTGTAGCACGAAAACACATCCATACCCACACAATGTTTTTAAGAATTACTTGTATTAATCTTGGAGAAGTGAGTCCTTCTGAATTGGTCTTTGAGGGGCAAGTCTTTGTGTCCTCTTTTAAGACAGGGTACAGTTTCTAGTATCTGCCAGCAGTAATGTCAGGGGAATCTCAAACTTCCACTTTCTGTGTGATATCTGTCACCCACTGAGCAGCTGTGAGGAATGGTGGAAGAACATTCTAATGAATCAGGTGATAATGGGATGCAGTTTTGTTCTGTTAGCTTTCTTTGATTCCCTACAGCAGTGAAAGAATTAGGTCAACATTGTCCCAAGTGGTGCGCCACAAAAACCGTTCTGAGATCTGAGGTATGACATTACACATATCATTACACCAGCGCCTCCATGGATAAATAAAGCCAGCAAATATACCACTCTTACACTCTTCTTTGACCCCACCCCTCAGTTTCACATTATACATTTAAATATAAATGCTCTGAGTTGTAGTGCAGGTCTGTAATCTCAGTATGTTGGAAACTTAAACAGGAGGATGAGTTCAAGCCCAGAATGGGCTACAGAGTGAGACTTTGCCATAGAACTGAGTAAGTACCAAGTGATCTGAGAATTCCCTCCATAACAAAACATTAATCTTATTAAACTCACTATTACCAAATATACCTCGGTGTTGGAATATTTTTTGATACACTTCTGAACATCTCATAGTGTTCTCTGAGGACCAGTTTGGAACCAACTGAAGAGGTAAGAGTCCAGAGAACTTCCCAGATTCTTGTGTATGTCTTAGTTTTCAGAGACTGTGGGAAGAGAGGGTCCAAACACTTGCAAGTCTAATAAGTCTGTGTCAGCATTCAGATCCTTGCTACTTTTAAGTCCTGGATTGCAGACATTGTGGGAAAGGTGCTGGCAGGATAATGAACCCAGGTGCATATGGAATCTGGTTTTTGTATTCCAGAATAAAGCTAAACTATAGTCTTGGAAGTTTACACACTTGGAATGATGGTTTTAGGATTTCATGTCCTCAGCAGATGAATCCTCAGTGTGCTCCTGCACAGGACCTACATGCTCTTATCTTGTCTACAAAAGAACAAGACCAGGAGTCACAACCATCATATATATAACCCACTAAACACCTGATACCTTAAGAGGGGTGACCATAATTAAAGCTCAAGTGGCCTTATCAGTTTCTTCTGTTTGACAGGTATTTTTATTCTTGTGCTAGGCTTGTGCTCAACACTGGGGGGAAGACTACAAGACAGATGCAGATCTTCTCTCTTGATTGTCTACATTATAATGGGAGACAAGAGTCAAACCAAAGTAAACAAAACAATTAACTCTAGGTTGTTCAAACATGCTACAAAAGAAATAAAAATAGTGCTCAGGGTGATAAGAATTTATAATCTATTAGTACGAGAGAAAGGCAAGGGAAGAGGGAGCCACTGGATTAACTTTAGGATGGGCACTGTGAAAGTTCTAATTTACAATGTAGGGCTTTGGTGAATGGAGCCTTATTTATCAACAAAACTGGCAATATGAGCTTCTTTGAGCATAAACAGCTTTGAACAAAGAAAATATTTACTTACTATAATGAAGGAATGAAAGAATATACTTTAGCAAGGTAAAAAAAAAAGTACAGACAATATTTCAGGGGACTAGACTAGCAAGATGGCTGAGTTGGCAGAGCACTTGCCACACAAGAAGCTGACCTGGTAACCTGAGTTTGATCTCTACATAAAGGTGGAAGGAGAGAACGGACTTCAAAAAGTTGTCCTCTCACCTCGACACATGCACTGTGGCATGCACACACCTCCATTCATGCAATAAATTTTTAAAAAGAATATTTCAAGTCAGGCATGGTGGCACAAGCCCATAATCACATTGCTCAGGAAGCTGAGGCAAGAGTTCAAGACCACTCTGGGGGAACATAATCAATGTCAAAAAAGTAAAGAAATCTAGGCATGTTGATACATGCTTATACTCCTAGCACTCAGGTAGAAAAGGATCAACAGTTCAGTGACAGTCTTAGCTACAGAGCAAGTTTGGGGACAGTCTGAGTTATAAAAGGCCGTGCCTCAAAAAAGTAACCAAACCAGATCAAATAAAATTATTTATCTGGGAATCAATCAAGAAATAGCAATGTTTTATAAGCTAGAAATGAACATGATACAATGTCACTCAGGTTGATTGATCAGGGATAACATGCTGCTCCTACTAAACTTTCTTTTATACCTAAGCTACGTGATAACCAATAAACCCTCTAGTGACGGTGTATGGAACAAATCCATGCTTACGGCTCTGAGCCTCAATGTCCTCAATTGTAAGTTATAAGAAGGCTGGAGAGATGGCTCAGCAAATAAAAGAGCTTGTTCTGAAAACCTATAAACCTAATGACCTGTGTTTGAAAGCTGTCCTTTTATTTCCACGTGGTGCACAGGTAGACACACACACACACACACACAAATTTCTGAACAGATTTAGAAGAGACCGTCTCTTCAATCTCTTTCCTGATATACCTTAAAGCTCTACTACGACTATACCTAAGCCACTGGTAGCTAAAAAGCTGAATTATGAAACCCGAAATCTGCGGGCTATACATACAATTAGCAATTTATAAAATATATCACCTGAGGTGGTTGTTAAAATACTTGTGCTGAAGATTACAGGTAGACAAAGTCTAAGAACTTTGAGTATGAAATAAAACATTGATGTGGAATTTCCCATACTTGCCTAAAACATCAGTTCTCAGACCTTTTCTTTTAGAAACATAATCTGCTAACTAGATACTCAGGTCTCCATGTCAACTAAGCCACAAACTCTGCTTAGAGCATAAATATATTATAGTTCTTATACAATTGTCTTGTTCTCAGTAACAAACAAAAGCCACATTAAAAGTTAAACACATAAACTGTAAGGAGTTCATTCTAAATTCCCACTAGTTTTCATGCATGCCTTGATTAAGTGCTAATTTTCATGGCTGTTTTTTCCTATTGGCATTATAAAAGTAAGGAAATAGTGTTAGACTTTTTAAATTACATAAAATTCTTTACATCTAATCTATATTCATGGCTACAAATTCCAACCTATTTTCATATCTCATTAAGGATGTTTTTCATTTTCCAAACACCGCAAATGAGAGGCATAAAATTGTGCATCTGGCAGGTTTCTTGGGGTTGAAATATGATTTCAACACAGTAAGAATTGTGCTAACAGAACTTAAGAAGCGAAGTTGCTAAACTTTAAGAACACAAATGATGTCCAACCTTGTGAACACAGTCCAAAGATAAAAGAAATCCTAATTTCTAGAAAATTTTGCTAGATTTTATCCCTGCCCCACTATGGTTTGCATATAAATGTATGTTAATGTTTTGTTTTAGAAGTCTATGCTCCAAGTATTTCTACTCTGTCTGCTCCAAGATCGAAACTGGTGCAAAACTATTACTGACTGCTGTGACCAGAGACTACCAATTGGCTGCATCTGCTTTTGAAGCTGAAATTGCTATTTTCCAAGATACAATCCAAAAACAGCCCTTCCCCTTATTTAGAGTGATCTTAAAACACTTGTTTTGCTAAGGAATTCCCTGATGGTAGAAGCAAAAATAGGAGGAAGTACAATTAACTTATTCCCTAGAGAGCAAATCTTGATTTCTGTGAAGCATGTTTATAGCCCCAAAATTTCTGATCAAAAATTTTTCATGCTTCATAATTTTGCATTTTTTCATTGACTTTAGAACCAAGCTTCATTTGATGATGTTCTTCAGAATGAGGACACTGAACAAACTTCTCTTCATCCATGGAGTTTCTGGTGTCTAAGAAGGCTTGACCGCCGACTAAAGTTTCTCTTGCATATACTACATGTATAAGGCTGCTCACCTGTGTGTGTTCTCTGGTGTTTAACAAGGTGGGAGTTCTGACTGAATTTTTTTCCACATTCATGACATGAAAAAGGCTTCTCGCCTGTATGAGTTCTTTGGTGTGTGTGAAGATTTGTATTTTGACTGAAGCTTTTCCCACACCATGAACATTTATATGGTTTTATTCCTTGGTGTGTTGTTAAGTGCTTATTAAGATCTGAACTCCATCTAAACCTCTTATCACACTGCTGACATTTATAAGGTTTCTCTTCAGTATGAATTCTTTGGTGCTTAATAAGGTCAGAGCTAACTCTGAAGCTTTTCCCACATTCTTGGCATTTAAAAGGCTTCTCTCCTGCCTGGTCTTTCTTGTGAAGATCCATAAGTCTTAGCAGCTCTTGTTTCCATGTTGAAAATTTCCTTCTTTTCTTCACTGGACAATCTCGTTGACGTTTCCCGACTCTGTGCATATCACAACATTTCTGTTTTACTGTTGCTTTCTGGGAAACTTTTACTTTGGACTTTTTTGATACTACACTTGGTGTTTTCATTTCCAAGTCAGAATGATATACAAGCTGATGATTTTCAGTGTCATTTTTTTGCTTTAATCCTGTTAGAATAAACATAGAATCAGTCATCTGTATTCTAGAAACAAAAAAACATAGGAATAGAAAGCAAAATTATATGATTAAAATATATGCAACAATACACAAACACACCCCCTTAAGGAACAAAATATTAAAGGTTAAGTCCTTGTAAGGATTCACATCAAGGCATGTCTCTTCTTTCCCCTTTGTGTGATTTACCTACAGGAGAGACTATGGGACTGTCTTTCAAATCTGAGGATCCTTGAACCCATGGCTCTTCTCCTTGTTCCAGACAGGAAATCACTTTAGGTTTGGGGAGCACAGATAATGCTGTGAAATGAAAAAAATTAGTTTGAGGGCTGTGAATTAACAGTGAATTAGCTAAATCTAGACTACTCAGAAAGAAAGACCTCCCCCCTTTTTTTTTTCTTGTCTTTTTAAAGCAGGGTATCCCTGTAGCCCCAGCTGTCCTGGAACTCACTATGTAGACTAGGCTGGCCTTGAACTCAAAGAGATCTGTCTGCCTCTGCCTCCCAAGTGCTGGGACTACAGGTGTGCGCCACCATGCCTGGCTGAAAGACCCTTTTGTAGTGTGTTGCTGCAAATGAATAAATGGACAGACTTCTATACCCACTATCTTGTTTAGACTCCACTGCATTAACAAGTATATGCAGGGCAGAGATTTTGAAATGATCCCAATGTAGATCAATGAAAAGGATAATATGGGCTATGAGAATACAGTGCCTTTGCCCTCTTCTGCCACCAAGACATTCTCATGTTCAACCAAATTCCAGAGGTTGTAAGAAATATAGGCTGGTTCCAAATACTCCTTAAGAGGATTCATCTTGAAGACCAGGTATAGAGGAGTCAGTGTGAAAGAGAATAAGCTGATTAGCACGTGCATTAAGTTTCTTACTGTCATAATTATAGTTGCTTATTTATCTTTTACTTATTTAGCACTAAGCCCAGGACAAGAACAGACTTCTACCCCTTATAACTAACTCATTTTTATTTTCTTTTAAAAATTACTTTGTACCTACACTGGGGAGGGGGTGACACCTAACACATCAAGCATGTGGAGGTCAGAGGACAACTTTGTGGAGTCAGTTCCTTCTTGCCACCTTTATGTGAGTTCTGAGGATCAAACTCATATTGTTAGGCTTTTGTAATAAGCACCCTGACCTGCTGATCCACCTTGTTGGCCACCCACTATAACTCATTCTTTGATATCCAGCTAGAAAAAACACCAAAAGCACTTGATGGACTATTTTTAGTTTATCCAGTATAGGAAGTATTTGTCATCATTCTTTTGAGACAGGGTATCATACTGTAACCCATGTTATTCTGGAACTCACACTGTAGCCCAGGCTGGCCTCAAACTTGCAGCATTCTTCCTGTTCCAGCTTCTTGAGAGCTAGAATTACAGACATGAATCACCATGTCTGGATTATTCATTCTGTCCATAAATACTGGGGTGAGGGGACTGGACAATGTTAAGTCAGTGGTTGAGCATATGTACAAGGTCCTGGTTTCAATACTCAGCATCAAATACAGATGAATATTTATTAGGTGGTTATGATGTGCTAGATACTTCACTATAGGCTGAGGATATAGTAGTGAAGAAGTCAAAGTTCCATGATTTCATAAAGTTTACATTCTAGTAGGATCATGAAGAAATACATTAGAAACAAAATGTTAGAAAGTAGTATGAAGAAAACTAAACACGGCAAGATGAATTCTGATATTTTGCTCTTTTGAAGCTTATTTTAGATACGGTTTTATAGACTTCTTCCTTGAGAAAGTAGTATTTGAACAGAAAGCTGAAAGTATGCTATAAAGAAGAAAAGATAAAGTAAAAATGAGCATAGCAAGTCAGGAAACTTCAGGAAAACATTATATATCTAAAGAAGACTGAGCAAGGTCATGAATATAGGAGATAAGCCAGACCATAGGGGATTCTTGTATACTAGTAAGGAATCTAAATTTTATTTATTTATTTATTTTTGGTCTTTTTGAGACAAGGTTTCCCTGTAGCCCCAGCTGGCCTGGAACTCGCTATATAGACCAGACTGGCCTTGAACTCACAGAGATCGGCCTCCCTCTGACTCCCGAGTGCTAGGATTAAAGGCCTGCACCACCACACCCAGTAGGAATCTAAATTTTATTAATTTAAGAAATCAACACAGCCAGGTGTGGTGGTGCATGCCTTTCATCCCAGAACTTAGAAGGCAGAGAGGCAAGTGGATCTCTGTGAGTTTGAGGCCAACATGGTCTACATAGCCAGTTCCAGGTCAATCAGGACTACACTGTGAAAACTAGCCCCTCACCCCCGGCAAATTTTTTTTAAAGTAAGCAATACAATGGGACTAGAGAGATGGGTCAGAGGTTACGAGTACTTGCTGCTCTTGCAGAGGACCTGAAAATGGTTCTCAGCACCCAGGTAAGGTAACTTTCACCTGCCTGTAACTCCACTTATGTCTAACTCGTCTAGACTTTGAGGGCATCTGCATTCACACATGTACAAACCCACATATAGACACGCTAATATACACATAATTTAAAAGAAAAGAAATCAATGGTGGATTTTGAAGCAAGGAATCATAAGGTATTATGAAGATGACTCTAGATGCTGTATAGCAGACAGTGTTAGGAAGAAAACAGAGTGGACAGTGGTGCCAGTTAGAAATCTATCTGGTTTGGGGGCTGAAGAGACGGCTCAGCAGTAAGAACACTTGCTGTTCTTCAAGGAGACCTGGGTTCAATTCCTAGCACCCACATGGTGGCTAACAAATGTCTGTAACTCCAGTTTCATGGGAATCTGACACCATCTTCTGGCCTCTGTGGGCACTGCACACGTGGTACACGTATACATGCAAGCAAAACACTCATACACTTAAAATAAAAATAACAAAATATTTAAAAAATAGAAATCTGGTTTATTACGATATTTAGGCCAGTTCATTAAGTTTCTTACTGTCATAATTATAGTTGCTTATTTTTCTTTTACTTATTTAGCTCTAAGCCCAGGACAAGAATAGACTTCTACCCCTTATAAAGTTGAGACATGGTTGAACTCGGGATATAACATGAAAGTAGAATAAAACTTGCTGTTTGGTTATTAGGAGGCTATGAAGGTAAGGCTAAAGGATGACTGTACATTTTTTGCCCTGAGTAACTGGGAAATGGTGATGCCCTTTACCAAATGAAAAAGCCATGAAAGAACAAATTTAGAGTTAAAAGAAATGGAATGGATCATTAATTTTATTTAAGCTAATAAATGAGCATATACATAGGGAAAATCTGGATACATCTCTCTCCTTCCCCTTCACTACCTGAGAAACAGCCAACTAACAGAAGAGTGGGACTCAGAGAGGTTTATTCTCAATAAGAAAAAAATGAGATCACTCAACTTCACAAAAGAAGAGCTGAACCTCTACCTAGAAAGATTAACAGTCTCACAATTTTCCTGCATTACATCATTGTAGAAGACAGCCTTGAGTGGGATCCAATAACTCCCATTCTTCCTGGCTACTTCTGAAAACATCAACAAGTTCTAAAGAGAATGGACTTCAGTTTATTATTTGCCATTACTAACTGGATAAGAACTGCATAGTAGGCCAGGTTTTGAAGAAATTGATGGTACATGACCAATTTTTTTTAACTTAAGAAAAATTTTATTTATTATTTTATGTGTATGCGTGTATTGCTTGCATGTGGGTAAGTGCACCCATGTTGTGCAATGCCCTTGGAGGTCAGAAGAGGCTGTCGGATCCCCTGGGACTGGAGTTACAGACAGCTGTTAGCTACCATGTGGGTGCTGGATTTGAACCCAGGTCTTCTGCAAGAACAACCAGTGTCCTTAACCTCTGAGCCATCTCTCCCGCCCCAATGACCATTTTTTTTTTTTTAAGCTGAGAAAGCAGAAAGAAAGAAATTAAGGAATCAGAGCATAGCCTTAATCTCTTGGGCAAGCCTAGTTGTCTAAAGAACATCCAAGATGACATGTGATAATGTGTATTTGTACATGTACGTATGGAGACCAGAGAACCACCTGTGGGTTATTCCTGAGGGGACATCCTTGTTTGTTTATTTATTTACTTCTTATTTACTTTTGGGATAGAGGTTTCTTTCTTTTTTTCTTTTTTGGTCTTTTTTGAGACAGTAGCCCCAGCTGGCCTGGAACTCACTATGTAGACCAAGCTGGCCTTGAACTCACAGAGATCCACCTGCCTCTGCCTGCTGGGATTAAAGGAGTGTGCCACCATTCCCAGTGGGACAGGGGTTTCTTATTAGCCTGGAGCTCACCATGTAGGCTAGACTGGCTGGTCAGCAAGCCCCAGGGATCCTCCTGTCTCTGCCTCCCCAGCACTAGAATTATAAGCATGAGCCACCATACCCAGCTTTTTAAGTGGTTTCTGGGGATCAAACTCAAGTCCTTGTTCTTGCCCCACTAAGCCATATCCCCCAAGTTCTTTTTTTCATTCATTCATTCATTCATTCATTCACTCACTCATTCATTCATTCATAGTTTTGCTAGGAAGCCCTGCTTAGCCTGTTCCTCATGCTGAAGTCCAGGCTGGCCTCAAATTTTTGGCAACCCTCCTGCCTCAGCCTCCCTAGTGGTAAGATAACAGGCATGTGCCACCACATTTGCTTTGCTAGTTAGTCTTCTCAATTTAATCAGATTGATATGCCAGTAGGAGAATAAAGCATAATTCTAAGTCTGTCAGGGTGTTTCCAAGGAGGATTAGCTAAGTGGGAAAATATCTGTCTTCAGTGTAGGTGGCACTATTCCATAGGCTGATGGCTGGGATGAAGTAAAGGCAAAAAAGGAGAATGCCATCTAGAATAGGTATATTCCTTCTGCTTCCTAGTTGCCATGATGTGAACTCTTCTCCTGCCCAGTATCCTCACCCTCATGATGAACTGAAACCATTGAAACTGTGAGATTAAAGAAAACAGGGCAAGGGCACGAGTAGCAGATGACATCAGAGAGGTGAGGAGGGCTAGATCATGAGGATGTGGAGGTCATGGTAAAGAGTTGGGATTTTATATTGAATATAGGAAGTCAACACAGGAACTTAAAAACATCACTGGGGCATGGTGGCACATGCCTTTAGTCCCAGCACTTGGGAGGCAGAGGCAGGCGGATCTCTGTGAGATTAAGGACAGTCTTATCTATATAGCAAGTTCCAGGTTAGCTGTGATTACAGGGAGACCCTGTCTGAAAAAGAGGATCTCCCTGTAGCCACAGCTAACCTGGATTCCCTATGGAGACCAGGCTCATCGGAACTCACAGAGATCTGCCTGCCTCTGCCTCCCAAGTGCTAGGACTAAAGGCATGTGCCACCACACCTGGCCCAGTGATGTTTTTAAAAAGCTATTACCTGGGGCTGGAGAGATGGCTCAGTGGTTAAGAACACTGACTGTTCTTGCAGAAGACCCGGGTTTGAATCCCAGCACCCACATGGCAGCTAACAACTGTCTGTAACTCCAGATCCAGGGAATCAGACAGTTTCTCTGTCCTCCGCAGCACTGCACGACATGGGTGGACTTACCTACATGCATACACATAAAATAAAAGTAAATTAAAAAAAATAAAGCAATTGCCTAGATGCTAGCTTTGAAATCTTAGATATGAATGTTTCAATTTGAAAACCCAAAGAGGTCAGGAAACTAATAAACAGCTATGGGAGGGGTGTTTCCTGGGAGGGGAGGTAGAATGCAGTTATATAAAGGAGGAAAAGGGGAATAATAGAGTAGAAAGGGTTAAATGGGGTAGGGAATGGGAGAGCAGGGAAGAGGAGGAAGTATGGGGAGGAATAACTCACACTAAAGGCCTTTAGAAAAAGCCATGTGGAAACCTACCATTATAGAAGCTTCTTTATATATATATATAAGAGATTAAGGGGCTGGAGAGATGGCTCAGTGGTTAAGAACACTGACTGTTCTTGCAGAAGACCTGGGTTCGAATCCTAGCACCCACATGGCCGCTGACAACTATCTGTAACTCCAGTTCCAGGGGATCTGACAGCCTCTTCTGTCCTCAGTGGGCATCGCATGACATGGGTGCACTTACCTACAGGCAGGCAATACATGCATACACGTAAAATAAAAAGAAAAAGTCCTCTTTGAAAAAAAAAGAGATTAAAAGAAGTTACCTTGTAACAGGGGGACATTGTCCCTACTAGATACCATAGGCTAGCAAAGTAAAAAGCCCAATGCCAGGGCTGGAGAGATGGCTCAGTGGATAAGAACACTATCTGTTCTTGCAGAAGACCTGGCTTCGAATCCCAGCACCCAATGTCAGCTAACTGTCCATAACTCCAATTCCAGGGGATCTGACAGTCTCTTCTGTCCTCCACAGGCATTTCATGACACAGGTGCACTTACCTACATGCAGGCAATACACGCATACACATAAAATAAAAATAATAAAAACATTTAAACGCCAGTAATGGACTCCCTCTTTTGAAACTGTTGAGTGGGGGTCCCACAGATCCTCAAACAATACTGACCATTGATCCTGCTCTTGGTTACCCAAAGTAAGACCCTATTACTGAAGACACTATACACATGAGCTGTAGAAACAAGGAGAAATCAAGCTGATGTTGACTTCAAAGCTTTATCTTTACTGGCTAGCTTTCACAGTACACAAAGGTGCTATGCAGGGTACCTGAACAGAAAATTTAGCAAGACCCTTACACAGCTGTGAATCTTGCATTCTACAACTGGCTTGGAGGATATGCCCACCTGTGTAATAGTGGCATGATTATGGGAGTAATCAATCACTTCCTAATTGGATTTAAGTTCTGCTTCATAGGATGGAGCCCATAGCTGACATTGATAACAGGCCTAGGAACCTGATGCTTAGACAGGTCACACATGATAGAGAAGAGTCTAATACTATTATTCTGCTAAATAGATATTGTATTAAACTGATTCATAAGGACTTAAGTTATACCTTATACCCGTGGATTAATGCATTTCTCAGCTCTGACTGAAAAAGCTTCCTTATGCACCAGATGATGATTAACACAGAGAACTACAGTTCATGAACTCACAACAATGATAACTCCACGTACAAATCCCACCTAAGCTCAAGGCAGACAGAATCCCAGCATAGACATGAGGAAGTAGATCAGAAATCCTAACCCAACCCATCTGAGGAAATATTGGCAACTGATGGCTACTGGGAGGGAGAGAGTCAGCGTCATTTAAGGTGAGACTCTTGGTAGGTTGACCAGGCTCCAGTGGATGACCCCACATCAAAGGGCATTCAGGGACATAAATTTGACTCTCTGTCTCTTTCTGTCTGTCTGTCTGTCTGTGTGTGTATGTGTGCGTGTACACGGAATTGGGTTGTGGGTAGTAAGGAGGTGCAGATAGGGGCGGGGATCTAAAGACAATCAAAATATATGGTATGAAATTTGCAAAAAGTTTTAGAAAAAGAAAAGAGCTATGGAAGGGTGAAGAGTGGAGGCAGGAGTGTTAGCCAGAAAGTTATCTGATTTAACATATTGCTGGTTTTGACTAGAATCATAATAGTGGAAGAGGTCGAGACATGATTGTATCCAAGCTGTATTTTCAAAGTAGAGTTAATATCATTACATCATCTAATTAGTTATGGCTGATGGATGATAGCAAGATCAAAGCGAAGGGTGACAAATTTTTCAGCCTGAGATACTAAGTGGTTGTGCCTTTTATCAAGACAGAAAAAGACATGGGAAGAGCAAATCTGAAGAGGTATAGATGAGATAAAGCATTTTAGAATAAGAAATGGCATAGTCATTTGGGGAAAGCTCCCCAGGGATCTGCACATATCTTCCCTTGCACCCCTATCACCATCTAGTTCTGAACTAGCCAGCTACTGAAAGTGAAATTCACAGGACTTCATTCTTAGTAAGTCAAAAGGGTAGATTATATAACTTCTACACAAGGGAGAGAGAATCTTTACCCAGACAGATGACAGTCTCATAGTTTTCTTGCATTACACCATTGTAGAGAACCTTCTGAAAGGGATCCAATAACTCCCATTCTTCCTGGGAAAAATACACGGCCACATCTTCAAATTTTAACAAGCTCTGAAGAACAGAATGGATTTCAATTCAGTACTTGTGGCCACAGAAGCAGCCCAACCACATGGCTACAAACTGTGAGGTAGGCCAGACACTGAAGGAATTAAGAGTATGCAATTACATTCATACACTGCATAAGAATGTTTTGGTCAACAAAAGTCCACATGACAGTGGTTCCATAAGATTATACAGACAGGCTCTGTAAAATTTTTATTGCTTAGTGTCATAATTGAGCTATGTATTTCTCATGTTTGATACGGATATAAACAAACCTGCAACAGTAGCCCTATGAGAGTACAGCAAAGTTATATACAGCGTATTATATTTAAATAATTTATTGGTTTGTATATTTACTATGCTATACTAATTTTATTACTTTAGAGGCCTCTCAAGAGATTGACTTCTACCATTTAAGCTTATATAAGCACAATCTTATCCTCATCAAATGACTGACTTACACCCCTTTTTAAGCATAAATTACATATGTACAATGATGAAAAAAATCAACTATACATTTCTCAGAAAATATCTCCATTGTTAAGTACGAGTACATTTTAAAGACCGAGAAGGCAGGAAGGAGGCAAGGAATTAGCCTAGGAGGCATCCAGCTCCTAGGTGGAGAATAACTGGGTCTAACACATCTCTGAGCTTACCTGAACAATCTGAATCATGGGCAGCAGAGAAAGGTAGCTAAAACAGCTAGAAAGCACAGCTCACCTGGGACTCAGGCAAAATGAGCTCAGGAGCCACTGTCCAGTCTTTGTTATTTATCTGCTCAGGAAAGGCTAGACTCTGTTGATCAGGCACAGCTGTGGGTAGAAAAAGAACCATAGGAAATTTCTCATTTCTATGAACATCCTGGGCTCATTTTTAAAATACAGGTCTTGGGGCTAGAGAGATGGCTCAGCGGTTAAGAACACTAGCTGTTCTTGCAGAAGGCCTAGGTTCGAATCCCAGCACCTACATGGCAGCTAACAACTGTCCGTAACTCCAGTTTCCAGGGGATCTGACAGCCTCTTCTGTCCTCCTTGGGCATTGCACAACATGGGTGTACTTACTGACATGGAGGCAATACACACATACACATAATAAATGAATAAATAAATAAATAAAATAAAATATAGGTCCTGATTTTTTTTCCTGTAGAGATGTGACATTTTTACAAGTAATAGGTTGTGCAAGTGGCTTTCTTTTTTTTAATTTTTTAAATTTTATGTGTATGAGTGTATTGCCTGCATGTATGTGAGTACACCTGTGCTGTGCAATGCCGCGGAGGTCAGAAGAGGGCTTCCGATTCCCCTGGAACTGGAGTTAAGGATGGTTTGTAGCTGCCATGTGGGTGCTGGGAATCAAACCCAGGTCCTCTGCAAGAGCAGTCAGTGCTCTTAACCACTGAGCCATCTCTCCAGCCCAGCTTTCTTGTAAATAAGAACCAAGTATCTACAAGCTCTTGAAACTAGTTTCCCAGTTGTTTCCTTAGTTGTCATGAAAAATTAACAAACTTCTATTAAATTTTCTTCCTTTTTTTGAGTTGGGCAGAAATTAAAGGTATTTCAAATTGAAGTACTCAGGGAACTCTAGTATACTTTAGAAAACAAAGTCTTTTTCTTTCTGGCAGATAACTGTTCTCACATTCTGCCACTAATGGCCCATTTCTTTTCTCTAGGAGCCAATTCAGATCCCAATTCCTTCTGCATTTTCTGAGAACAGGGTGACCACAAACCTTCCTGGGAAATTTCTTTCCTTCCTTTCCACTTTCTAAGGAACAGAGCTCAAGAGTTTATTACCAGCATTCTGTAATTTAGATGTTTTTATACCCTAGGCCAAATCCCACTTTGCCCATAGTATTATATTCTACCTGAGGGGATGATTTCATAATTATCGTAATTATCATCATGAATACTTTTATAGCTCCAGTGAGCTGGGTATACATAACATTTTGGTTCAACAAATTACTATCACAGTATTCAGAAAAATTTTTTTATGAAGTTCCTTACCACTCTCATGTAATGGTTCAGTTTCTTTATGAGAACGCCTGCTCAGTTGTTCTGGTAGACCCTGGTATGTACTCCAAAATTCTTCATCCTGAGATACTTCCTGTGGTTGAGACTCTGATGGCTTCAGCTCAGAACCTGTTGTTTCTCTCAAAAGCATTTCATCCTTTCTCAGGTCATGGATTACAATCTAGAAATAATCCCTATCCTTAATATCACGGAACCTAAAGTATTTTTATTGAGAATTTCAAACAATAATATCACAGGACTTAATTCAGGTGGGAAGTAGAGGCAGGAGAACAAGTTTATATCCCAAACTACAGGAAGTATGAGACACTAAAGGAAATAAAGGACCTAAAGAAACATCACATTGGGCTACTGATGTTCCACAAAAATACTGTCCACAAACCTGGGAGAATTAAGAGGACTAAACTGTAGCTATTGCTGTTCCTCAACACAATATCCTTCACCCCTCTGCATATAGTAGACTTCAGGCCACTGGCATGTTGGACAGCCCATCTATTCTCATACACCTTGTTTAGCAGATTCTCTGTACTTACATCCCTTTAACTAGTGGCTATTTGTCTCCTCTTTTGGTAAAAAAAAAGTTATTAGTATATATTAATTATACATTATGGATTTTATTATACTTAATGTTTTATTTAATTCTATGTGTATAAAAATTTGCTTTACCTGCTCATATATAAGTATACCACAACAGATGACTGTTGGTCACCATGTAAGTGCTGGGAACTGAACCTGGGTCCTCTAGAACAACAGCAAGTGCTCTTAACCACTGAGCCCTCTGATTTCATTAACCCTCTCTCCGGCCCTCTGATTTCATTATATTTTAATACATGTACATGATGTATTTCAATCATATTCAATCCCTCCTGACATTTTCTTATCCTCTTCTATTTTTGTGGGTTTTTTTTTGCTTTTTTTTTTTTGATGACTGATGACTTTCATTAGGATTGCTTACAAGACCATGGATGAGTTTGTTTACAGGAGCATGAGTACTTTACCAGTGGCTATATCACTAAAGAAAAGGTCTCTCCATCCTCCATCAAACATTAACTGTGGATAGATCTTCAGGGAAGAGTGAGGCCATATGAAACCTTCCTCCCTCCATGGAATCTTCTCATTTGCTCTAAAACTTCCATGGAATCTTCTCATTTGCTCTAAAACTAAGGAATGAAATAAATATTTTCCTGTTGGTCAGATTTTCTCTAGTGTCAGGGAAAGTTTTCAGAGAACGCAGATAGAGAAAAAAGAAGAGTGATGTTACCACAGACCCCCTTACTATGTGGGGATAGGGGCCAAATTATCATTTACCCCTACTACAACCTTGGCAGTCTGATCTCCTTGCAGCTTGGAAAAAGGCCAGGTTGCCTTTGGGGGACCTCCATGGTAGGGACCTTGTTTGATATCCTCAGCCTTCCAACTGGCGACCTCTCCATATGCCCAATTGTGTAGTCACCAAATTAGGACTAACAATTCTCAGGAAGCCCAGATTTTCTTTCAAGTCCCTGAAACCACCTGTTGGGCATGCACCTTTGGTCTAAATAAGTGTGTGACTGTAGAAAACCAAGAGTGGGACTCTTACCATGGAGATATGTGCATATAATCCATGTTCTCCCCAGGTTTATCTCTATAGCAGAGAGGAAGAGAAGGAAGACTTCCACTTTAACCCAGGTCTCTCAAGGCCCAAGAGAAGTCCTGCCACCATCCTTGTCCCCCTGCTTGTGGGAACAGGAATCACAGGTTCCAATGCCTTGGGTGCTGCCACCCTAGTCATGGGTAATAAAAATTTCAGGCTTCTAAGCCCTCAGATAGACAGAGACATCAGACATCTACAGGACTCCATTGGACAGTTGGAAACAGGTCGACTCCATAGCTGAAATGGTGCTACAAAACAGAAGGCGGCTGGACCTACTGTTCCTAAAGGAAGATGGCTAATCACTAGAAGGGCTGTGGAGCTCATCTACAGTACACAGAACACCATCAGAATCTTTCATCTCACAGCTACTATTGAGATTTCCCTTCTTTCCAATCTGTTACCCTATTTTGTTTATTTTTTTTGACAAGGTCTCCTAGTCCCAGCCTGCCTGGAACTCACTATGCATATCAGGTTGGCCTTGATCTCACAGAGATCCACCTGCCTCTGCCTCCTCAGTGCTGGAATTAAAGGCCTGTACCACCACATCCTGCTGCTAACATTTTTTTTTTTGTCCTACTTTTTACTCTTTCTGTGCAATCTTTACCTAGTTGTTTGATTACTAGTTCTCTCTTACTGTCCTTGGGCTCCATCCATCTTTAAATCCTCTATTTTGGATACTTCCCCTCCCCTTTATTTTCTTAATTATTATTTTTTTTAAATATTTTGTTTTTATTTTGTGTATGAGTGTATTGTATATAAGTGCACCTGTGTTGTACAATGCCCATGGAGGTCAGAAAAGGGCGTTGGATCCTCTGGAACTGGAGTTACAGACAGTTGTTAGCCACCACGTGGGTGCTGGGAACTGGGTCCTCTGCAAGAGCAGACAGTGCTCTTAATCAATGAGCCATCTCTCCAGTCCCTTGCCTTTTATTTCTAAGAATTTTGGTTCTGTTTGATATGGTGGGCACAGTCCTATAATCTTAGCTACATGAAAGGCTAACAGGAGTATCACACATTCAAGGCCTGCCTGGGCTGCATAGTGAGACCCTATATCAAAATGAAAGGCCCCAATAGATAGTTCTAAATCCATGGTCACACAGACAGCTGTCATTGAACTCAGTAGGTCACAAAACAAAGATATGGATATGGTAAAGAGATCTGCAGGGAGGAAGGGGTGTTGACAGGGGTGGGAGAGGACGGGGTGATAATAATTAGAATGTATTATATTCATGTAAGAACTTGTCAAAGAACAAGTTTAATAAAAATTTAAAAATAGGGCAGGAGGGATGGCTCAGTGGGTAATGTATTTGCTATGCAAGCATAAGAACTTGAGTTCCATTCCTAGCACCCACATAAAAGCAAGGCATAGCGGCTTGTGTCTTTAATCCCAGAGCTGGTAACAGGTGGATGGCAGGGGGCACTCACACCACTGCCAGTTTAGCCAAAAATAGTGAGCTCTAGATTCAGTGAGCAATCCTATCTCAAAAACATAAGATGGTGAGCACCTGACATTTATCTCTGGTTTCCACATGCAGAGGTGACACATATACACAAATTAGGGGGGTATAGCTAAGTGGCAGAAAGCCTGTCTAGCATACCCAAGGCCTTGGGTTCAATCCCCTAGCACTGAAAAAAGTTTCTAGCTCTTTAGCCAAGACCATTACTCTCAATTCATCATGGTTCCAAAGTGGGAAAACATCTTTTTTTCTCAAGTGAAGGCAGTCTCTGCCATGATCCCTGACAAGTGGACTGACTTTTCCTATATGCTTATTATGCTTCATTCCACCTTAAGTACCCTAAAGGAACAATATAAAATGACTTAATAATTTGAAATTTAACTTCTCCCACCCCATTATAGCCATTGTCACCCTATTTCACTGTACACGTCAGTAATTTTTCTTCTCACCCCATTCCTTATTTGATCAGATTCCCTCTGCAAGTGCTCTACCAGGGCCACGGCTTCTTCGGTGCTCTGTGGACAGTGCTTCTGTATCTGAGTTTGCATCTCCCTTGGCAGAATGGTCAGAAACTGTTCTAGCACAAGTAGTTCCAAGATCTGTTCTTTTGAGTGGATCTCTGGTCTCAGCCACAGACGGCATAATTCCTGAAGCTGGCTGACAGCCTCACGGGGTCCAGCTGCTTTGTGATAACTGAAGTTCCAGAAGTGCCAGCAAAAGCTCTGAGGTTCAAAACTGTCTGTTTGGGGAGTTGATTTTTCACTTTGACTGGACCACTCTGTCACAGGCTCCTCTGTCTCCCACAAAGCACTGATCTGAGGGTCCAAATACTCCACCACTTTCAGATTCACCATGATCATTCTGCTCTTATACCAGTTTTGCTTCTATGTCTTTATTGACAACACCTTTGACAACTGAGGTCCAGGCTGGCCTGATGTTAAAGTCAATGGAAGTATCTTCTTCCAAGGGCACTGAAGACAGAGGTGATAGGGAGAGGAACATGCAATAAAAAAGACACATGAACTTTAAGACGTGTTCCTTCATTGTGACAGAAAAATGAATAGAAAAGGTCCTGGCTTGCCTCTCCCTTTAAACTACTAGGCCTGTTTCTCTTCCCTTGATTACTCAAAGTGCAACACAGCTTAAGAACGACAAATGTCAACTGATATGCTCACCTTTTTCTTAACTCAGGAATGGTAGGTGTTTGGAATATTGACAGGCACTGGCTGAAAGGAGTTTTGGGATTATCCAGAGACTTGATTTGTATGCTTCCATGTCCCCATAGGGAAAAAAGGGAGGAAATAAGAACATTCTGAGTTTCGCTTAAATTTTAAGTCGCTGGGCATGGTGGCACATGCCTTTGATACCAGCTCTAGGGAGGCAGAGGCAAGTGTATGTCTGTGAGTTCAAGAACAGTGTGGTCTACATAGTGAGTTCCAGGTTAGCTGGGGCTACAGGGAAGACCCTATCTCAAAAAGACACCCCCCCCAAATTAAAATTAACAAGTCACCCCAGTTCTTGTCTTGGTACTTTAATAACTTTTCATCTACTTTCCACTCTATTAACAAAGGCAGAGCTGAGATGTTGAGACCAATGTACCAGAAAAACAAGGAAAAACCTGCCATATTCTTAAAAAGCATCTCCTCACAATGAAGCAACTAGACAGTTATAAACACTATGCAGGTGATTTATATACACTTTATATTTATCTGAGCTACAAAAAGGGTTCTGTTTACAGAATATTGTTTTTTTAAGTGAGAGCTGATTATGTGTCATGCTACTGATTTTTGTATTTCTTCGAGAATCATTTAGACCTGCAACTGAGACTTAAAGAGAGTTTCATGTGCCTCCCTTTCCCTAAGGTGAGCCAAAACTTTGTCCAGCATGCTATGGGAAAGAAATGGGCAGCTTCGTGTTATCCACCCAGACTCAGGAAGCACGGTTTGTCTTGACTTTGTATCTGCATAAGCTATTTTTTTTTTAATTTATATTTTGTGTGTTGCCTACATGTATGTAAACGCACATGTGTAAAAATGACCCTGAAGGTCAGAAGAGGGTGCTGGATCCCCCTGGAACTAGGTTTATACCTAACGGTTGTTAGCTGCCGTGTGGGTGCTGGGAACTGACGCAGGGTCCTCTGCAGGGGCAGTCAGTGCTCTTAATTCTAACCTGTCAGCCATCTCTCCAGCCCCTGCATAAGTTATTTCTGGGGCTACCTCCTCTTCTGCTAGCAGTGGCCGGGCATATAACGTCGCAGAAGGAGGGAAAGTTCCTCCTGGGCTACCGGTAGATGCTGTGCTGCCCCTCCCAGAGCCAGCACCCAGCAGATGAGCTGGCCCAGAGTTGAACCAGCGCAAGGGCTTCGCGACCTGACGGCGGTGTCCAGGAGGGCGCTACAGCTAAGGATTGCTAACTCTCCTACAGGCCCACACGCCTAAAGCGGCCACCAAGGGAACACACAGCGTCCGGGTTACATGGAACAGCCAGCCTTCCGTGGAAGCCGCCTTCCATTAGCTCACCTGCGAGTCGCCGCCCTCAGCAGCGCAGCTCTTCCCCAGCCCCGCCAGACGCCAGCCCGCCAGCCCGCCAGCAGCTCCGAAAGGAGCGACGCGACTGCCCGGAGACTAATGGAGCCACTCACAGCTCCTAAATGAGAGTTTGAGCGTGTGGGGCCGGAAGCGGAAGTGACGTCCAGGAGGCGTCAGTTATTCCCCTAGAGGAGCCTGTGTTTCCGCCCGCCCGCCGCCTCGCTTCCTGGCGGTCCCCGCGGCGCTTTGGGGCGGCTGGCCACTCGGATCCTTGCGCTGTAAGGCTGTGCTCGCCGGGCCGCTCGGAGGTGCCCCAGCCGCGGTCGTGCTCCTGTTGCGGTCTGGTGCCCGTTGCAGCATCCTTCAGGAAGGACAGCCCCGAGGGTTTTGAATGCTTACCGAGTTGCTTTCCTCAACCGTTAGTTTTCGTTTCTGTTTTCTTTAGGTTTGAACCCGTGAAGTAGGTTGTTTATATTTCTCCTTGACAGAGGAAATTGAGACCTAAGAAACGATTTCCTCATTTTTATCAATGGCACCTGCTAAACCAGAATGTAGGCTTCCTGTAGTCAGACGGTCGGTCTTTTTCCATTAGTGTGCGCCCTCTAGAAGGGAATATCGTTTTCTTGTTCTGTCTCCGGCGACGCCCCAAGCATAGTCACTGGTCATAAGTAGTCCATACATATATGCACTGAGCTAAACGTTTGAGATTGTTGGTGATCTCCGAATTTTTGTAATGTGAGAATGCCAAAGGGATGTTATGTCGAATAAATCTGTTCTTTAGCAATCTAGTTAAAGGAATGGACCAATTTTCGTGACTACCAGTCACACAAGGCAATGAACAGTAAGGCATAAACTGAACTGTGTGTGTGAGAACTCCAAAAAAAAAGTTGATTTGGGGTTGAGGAAATTATAAAAGGCCTTGAAGGATTTTACCCACAGTGGACTCTGGACACGTGCCAAAGGAAGGAAAACTTAGACGCTTGAAAGCTGGCAGGAGTGCAATAGACTGAGAGTGCCGTTTTTCCTTGAGCTACACATAGAGGAAGAGTTTAAGAAGTTAAAAAGGGGTTTTTTTTTTTTTGTTTGTTTGTTTTTTTGTGGACATTTCCGTGGAGTCCTTTGAATGGGAATGAGGAAATTGCCATTTAAGAGAGTAATTCCAAAAAGAAAAGAAAAACACCTCAAGCAACATTTAAAGGTTTTTGATGGAGCTTCTTTCTACAAAAGTTTATCTGGAGGTAAGTTTAAGGTATGAAGATGAGAGGTTATTTTGCTATTTTTGCTCTGGGATAGCATGGTGTAAGACTCCCAGGCACAGTTCTTAATCCCTCTTAAGCAATAGAGATTAAACAGAAAATAATAATGAGCATTTGTCTATCATTTGAAGGTGTCAAAGAAGGTTCTCCTTAGAATCTCAATCAGATTGTGGCTTAATTTCTTCAAACCTAATTATGATTCCCAGACTCAGAACTAGTGGGCAGCAAAGCCTTTAGTATTAAGGTGATGATTGCCTTGCCTAGTGCTAAGCAGATAAATAAAATGTATTAGTTGATAAATGAAATGCTCAAGTATAAGTAGTACCCTTAGATGTCATTAGCAGGCCTTAGTTATTACTAACATAAGGAGAAAGTTGATTAAAGGGAGAAGGTGGTAAAGAGACCTTGGGGGCAGTATGAATAGGCCACTGATGATTTTAACTGTATAAAGTTCGGTGACATACTTGCTTACCTTCCTGTGGCACCAGCAATAGTTACCTCTAGAGTCTTTTGATTTTACCTTCCTCTGATTGGGCACTGTTTTAGAACTAATGAATGTGCAGCTAGGAAACAATGAAAGCAAATACACTGAGTTAACACCCATACAACTGCTATAGGAGATTGAATGTTTTGCTGGGTGACTATTTGCTATTAATGGTGCTATTGGCTAATAAATGCCCCCCCATTTGTAATAGATATTTAATAATTGTTTTAGTTATAACTGCTTTTTAAAAAGTTGCTTGAGGGATGACTCAGTGGTTAAGAGTCCTAGATGCTCTTATAGAGGACCTGGGTTAGATTCCTAGCACCCACATGGCTGCTAACAACTGTCTATAACTCCAGTTCCAGGCAAATCCGATCCCCTCTTCTGGCCTCCGTGGGCACTGCATGACACAGGTGTACTTACATACATGCAGACAATATAGTCAGCCACCTAAAATAAAAATAATACTTTTTTTTTTTTTTAAAGTTGCTTCAAAGCTGGGCATGGTGGTACATCCCTGTAATCCCAATGCCTGGTCAGCTGAGGCAAGATGGTGGTCATGTATTCAAGACCAGCCTGGGCTACATAGTGAATTCCAGGCCAGCTTTAGCTATAGAGAGAAACCCTATCTCAAATGAAGTGTGTGGGGAGGAGAGGGCTTATTTTCACCTATGAATTGACTCCATACCATAAATAGTACATTCTTTCATGGCCATCTTAGTGCTCCATTACTCAAAGTTGGTGTCTCTTTGAACACATGTTAGTATAAAGCAATGCTGGGACTCTCGGTTTCTAGATGAGACAATTAAGAGAATTCTATGTAGTTGGAAAATAAATAGGGCAGTCAGGCTCTAACCTAGAGGAGAGAAAGAATAACTGAGAGGTAATCCTTACACAGTGGCAGCTAATTACTACAGTGGTGCTAATTATTTCCTCATTTCTTTGTCATATTCCCCCCCCCTTTTTAGCACCCAGAATGGATTAAAGTAGCAATTTTTGTTCTTCTGGTGAAGTTGTGTATCTGGAATGAAAACCATGAAATCTAGAGCAAGACATTTCGAAAGACCTGGAATGGCTATCAGTAGCATCAGAGGAACCTGAGAGGGAGGAATATTGAGGGCATAGAACTATAGGTGAATAGAAGAACTTACAGGAAACAATTGAACAGAAACACCAGTATTTGGATTCGTCAGACAATGGATCTTGATTCAAATTAAATAAAATCTACACTGAAGAAAATTCAAAGTCTGAAATATGAAACATAGATCTTAACATCTTCATATAAATTTAGGATTACAAATGAAAGGATACACACACACACACACACTCTCTCTGGAAAAATGTTTTCCAAAGCTTTTAGGCTTCTGGGTAAGAACTGCCATAATTATGAAACTTGTTAAAATTCTAAATATTAAACCATTTCAGTGAACAATACCACTTGAGATCAAGAATATCCAAGGAAGATCTGAGTGGAAAAGTGCTACGAACAAACTCTTTGCATATTTACAGATCACTTGGGCAGCTTAGTGACAAAGGCCACTTTTTGAGACTACTATATTGAACAAAATAAGAGTTAGATTGCATTCACATGTACAATAAAATCTAATGTTCCTTTGCTTAAAGACTGCACAACTGTTTCCAAATTCTAGCTATCCAGACTTCCAGTGTCATGGTCCTTGAGGCTTGAGGCCTCGCTATACAAATGAATGGTTAAACAGCAAATACTATGTTTAAAACAACATGAACACCATTTTCTAATGGTGAGGTAAGATCAAGTAGTTTTGTAACGGGAGAAGCTAACACTGCACCTCTGCTACACAGGGTTACCCATATCATTGTCTTTGATTCTTTCACACTTCTTTCTCAAGCGTCTCTTTTTTTATTGACATCTTATCTAGATCTGTTCTTGTGGGAATATCTCTCATTAGCTCCCTTTATTTATTCCTTTTCTCTGTTGAGTTAGGCATGATATGCAGGTATCCCTGTCATTCCTGACTATGGCAGATATATCTATTCAGAGAGAATAAGTAGTAAGGTTCTGAAAACTGATTTCCTATGCTTTGCAATAGCGAGAATGAGATGGTCCTTGTACAGTGACAGCTTTGTGTAAATAAGACCTTTACTCCTAGCTTAGCTCTTAGGTCATGACCTCTTATTCTTTTCAGTCAGGTATCTTCTAGTACAAATGTTTGTGGCCTTCTGGGGCTTTGAGCTAGTTTCTGTTGTTTAAAAATATTTTTTTTCCCAGTTCACTAAGGCTTTCCCCTTCTCTTCTGTTGTCTGAAGTCAAATTCAGAATGAACAAGAGAAGGAAATATACTACACTGAATTTGGAGGAGAAAATGAAAGTTCTAAGTAGGATTGAAGCTGGACGATCTCTTAAAACTGTAATGGATGAATTTGGTATCAGTAAATCAATGTTTTACGATATTAAGAACAAGAAATTGATTTTGGACTTTGTTCTGAAGCAGGATATGCCATTAGTAGGGGCTGAAAAAAGAAGGAGGACAACAGGAGCCAAATATGGTGATATAGATGATGCAGTCTACACGTGGTACCAACAGAAATGCTCATCGGGTGTCTCTGTTAGAGGTGTGGAGCTTCAGGCTGCTGCAGAGAGATTTGTAAAGTATTTTGGGTGAACAGGCTTCAAAGCTAGCACTGGTTGGCTTTTTAGATTTTGAAATAGGCATGCAATTGGGAACCAAAAAGCATGTGGGGAACAGATCCTAGGTTCAGCTTCAGAAAATGTTGAGCCATTTTGGCAAAAACTGTCTATGATAATTAAAGAGGAGAAATTACATTTAGCTCAGCTATACAGTGGGGATGAGACTGACCTCTTTGAAATCAATGCCAGAGAACACTCAGGCAAGTAGAAAAGATATCTGCCTATCAGGGAGGAAGATAAACAGCAGTTGTCTGCTCTTTTATGTGCAAATGCAGATGGAACTCATAAGTTAAAATCAGTCATTATTGGAAAAGTAAAGGTGCCTAAAAGTGTGAAAGAGGACACAAGTACATTATCTGTGATATATAAACCTAGTCAAGATGTTTGGTTCACAAGAGAATTATTTTCAGAATGGTTCTTTCAAAATTTTGTTCCTGAGGTTTGACATTTTCAGCGTAACGTTCTAAGATTTCATGAAAAGAACATCAGGGCATTGCTACTTTTGGACAGTTCTCCAGTTCACCCTTCTGCTGAATCATTTAACCGGTGAGGATGGGCAAATAAAATGCATGTTCTTTCCCCATGGTACTTCCATTTTGATTTAACCAATGAATCAAGGTGTGATCTTGAGCTGCAAACAGCTTTATAGATGGAAGCAACTTGAAGAGAGTCTTGTAATTTTTGGAGAAAGTGAGGATGAGCAGTATAAATGAGAAAAGGAAATTTCCAAGATTAAAATCTACAATGTAAAAAGTGCAATTTTTAACTGGGCAAAAAGTTGGGATGAAGTAAAACAAATAACAATAGCAAATGCTTGGGAAAATCTTTACAGAAAGGAACCTGACTCTTATCTTCAAGGCTTAGAACATGGGGGTAATAGAGAAATTCTTGAGAAATGTGGAGAGTTAGAAACCAAACTGAATGATGATATGGTGTGGTTAGATAGAGATGAAGAAGAGAGTTGTACCCTAAAACCAGACAAAATAAAGGACACTGTCCAAAAAGGAGGAGCTGCAAAGCAGACTGCTGAATTTAAATTATCTACTGTAAGAGACAGTTTGGACTACCTTCTTAACTTTGTTGATGCCACACCTGAATTTCAAAGGTTCCATTTTACACTAAAAGAGATGCAACAAGAAATAGCCAAGAAAGAGTTCCAGATTAGAATCCATCCATGAATTGGTAGCTTTTTGAAAAATAGGCCTCATTATATAAAGGATACTTCCAATATGCATGCCTTCAACTTCTGGCTCTAATAATTGTAAAGATAACTATATGATGTAAACCTGTGAACTGTCATTTAATCAAACCTTTTGCATATCTATGCCCATTTATAGGTTGTAAAATAGTTTGAAAATAATAAATTTGTGTTTCTCTAAATGTATGAATAGTGGTTCTTTTTTCTACTTATGACAAGGGAGTCGTGTCTCCAGGCCATTACTCGCAGTCAGGCGGCAACTAAAGTTCAGCGTTCATCACAGCCAGTACCTTAGCAGCAGCATCAGAGGCTCCACAGCTGTCACAGCTCTGTGCTGGTGCAGCCCCCCTCGCCCACCCCACTTCTCCATTGCTCGTACCATGGCCGGTCAGCTGACTGAAGAACAGATTACTGAATTCAAGGAAGCTTTCTCCCTATTCAATAAATATGGTGATAGTACTATTACAATGAAGGAACTTGGTACTGTCATGAGGTCACTGGGTCAAGACCCAACAGAAGCTGAGTTGCAGGATATGATCAACGAAGTGGATGCTGTTGGGAATGGCACTATTGACTTCCCAGAGTTCTTGACTATGATGGCTAGAAAAGTGAAAGATACAGGTAGCGAAGAAGTCCGTGAGGCTTTCCGAGTCTTTGACAAGGATGGAAATGGTTATATCAGTGCAGCAGAACTATCACATCATGACAAACTTATGAGAAAAACTAACAGATGAAGAAGCAGATGAAGTGATCCAAGAAGCAGATGTTGATGGCAACAGACAAGTCAACTATGAAGAATTCGTACAGATGATGACTTCAAAATGAAGACCTACTTTTGACTACTTTTTCCCCTCTAGAAGAATCAAACTGAATCTTTTACTTACTTGTTAAAGTGGAATGGCTATGAGAAAAGCAGTAGTTTAAATTCTACCATGTAGTTGTATACTACAGTGCTTATTTAGTATACACCAAGACCTAGGTTCAGTCCCCAGAATTAAGAATTACCCTAATGTGTTCACCACAGAAAACATAAAAGCTTGGCAAGGCATAGTGGCACATGTCTTTAATTCTAGCACTCAAGTGGCAAAGACAAGCAGATTGCTGTGAGATCAAGGTCAGCCTAGGATTATCTATATAGCAATTTCCAGGCCAGCTGGGGCTACAGTGAGACCCTGTCTCAAAAAAAAAAACAAGCAAAACCTGTTTCACGTATCCCAGGGTGGGACATGAGAGATCATGTTTCAAAAAAAAATTTTTTTTTTTTTAGCCAGGCATGGTAGTGCACACTGTTAATCCCAGCACTTGGGAGGCAGAAGCAGGTGGATCTCTGTGATTTTCAAGGCCAGCCTGGTCTACAAAGCAAGTTCCAGGCCAGCTAGGACTACAGGGTGACCTGTATCAAAAAGACAAAAAAAAAATAATTTTTTTAGCCTGTTTTCTAGCTAGATCTGCTTTATAAAAGACAAAAAGTAAATAAATATGGCCTATGTCCAGGACTTTATAGCTTTAAGAGCAAAGCCTAAATTAGGAATTTTACAAAAGGAACAAGCAAATGTGAGAAAGATATGAAAGGTTATAGGTATGAAAACACATTTCTAAGAAAAAGTACTTTTAAATGAGAAAGGATTTTGTACGGTTGTTTGTCCTAAAGGATTGTTAAAAAAATAGGATCAGGATAAAACTAGAAAGCTAAAATATATCACAAGGTTTATGAAAGCTTTAAAATGAGCTTCTTTTGTTGTTTTAGGAAGTGCATGAAGAACAGAGTTTATGCTTTTCAAGATAATTAATTGTAGTTTCTACTGAGTTTGTCAGGCTCTTAACTAGTATCACTAAGACTGCACTCACAACACTCAACAGTCTTGGTCCACCATCCTCCCAATTGCACCTCTAAGATCACACATTACCTGTGAATGCTCAGCCCTAAATGGGACATCTGTATCAACACTCCCCCACTCCAAGGCTCAAGGAACATCATGAAAGAGGGGGTGGAAAGAATGTAAGACCTGGAGGATGACAGGTGTGCTGTGAAATGCTGTCTTCTGGACATGACTTACTCTTGTACACACAGCAGCTGCAGTGACCTGCACAAGATCAAGCCAGTCAAAATTCCAGCATGGATGGGGAGGAGCTAGCAGGCCCCACCCCTAGCTGAGGAGCTAAATGTAGGTTATGGCTGCTGGAGAGTAGACATTTTGTGTGTGGGTGGTCACTGGTAGGCTGCCCATGTTCCAGTGGATGACCCAATACCTATGTGTGTATTGGCAGCACTAATTAGATTCAGTTATTAAAAAAAAAACAGAAGGACATAAAGATGGGAGGGGAGACATATTGGGGGTTGGAGAACTGGAAGGGGAGAGTGGGGTTCAGTATGATCAAAATTCCCCCCTTTCATTTGTTAAATTGTCAACGGATAAGTAAAAAGGACTGGCCAGATGGGTAAAGGTGCCTGATGCCAAGCTTGATGACCTGAGTTCAAGCCTCAGAACTCACAGTAGACATAGCAAAAATAATGGACTCTCCAGAGTTGTTCTCTGACCTTCCTTTAGAGAGAGAGAGAGAGAGAGAGAGAGAGAGAGAGAGAGAGAGAGAGAGAGGAATAACATATAGAAAAAATATTTTCAGAGGCTGGAGTGTCACACTATCTCCAATGAAGCCCACTTGAGATCCTCCGTGGGTTGAGGCTGGAACTTCAAGGAAGGTTGCCTCTTGGAACTGGCTGTGCTAAAAAACATGCAGTGTACTTGGCATGCTTTTACTTGCTATTATCTTTCTGTCACTGTATCTTGGGCTTTCTGGGGGCCCGGAAAACACCTGGTGTCCTTGGCACCGCTATCACCGCCTTTATTGAAAATCCTTTAATCATCCTAGTCCAGATGCACCATTATTAATAAAAGCTATTTTAGATGTGGTAAGAAGTAGCTAAACAGAATTAATGCTGTATGGGGCGCGCGGTCCCGTGGGGATCGGTCCCCTGCGCTGTCTGCCGCTTGAGGTGCTGAACGTCTCGCAGCACTGCGGCTCTGCGTCTCTGTTGTGGCAGCGGGTCTCAGCTTCTCTGCTGCTTCCCTGCATCTTCCGTGGCTCTCTGCTGCTGGGGGCTTTGCCCAGCCGTGTCCCGCCCTTATTTCACCTGTGTACTTTCCTCAATATGCGAATTCCACCGGCCGCTGGACCACGCTGGAAAGTATGGGGCGGCTGAAGCTGGGATCCGTGAGTCGATGACGGAGGAATGCTGCCCCCCGGGGAGACTAGATTGCAGGCAGGAGACACAGACTCAGCTCAGTCAGATTCAGTGGTACAGCTCTTTATTCAGCATCCCAGCTCTAGTTCCTAGCTCCAGCTCCTTCTCCAGCTCCGCTTCTATCAGGGAACTTTATACCGTGGGGGTAGTGGTAAAAGCTTCAGCTGATAGGTACTTTGGGGATGCCTCATTTGCGTGTGGAAATGGGCTCCTGCCAGGCTGCCAAACTGCTTGAAAATCACACAGGAGAGCCTAATAGTTACAGAGCCGGAGGCTACATTCCTGTGGCTGCTACTTCACAAAGGAGTCAGGAAAAATGCCGGGAAGACGCCCTGCTGTGAAAGGAGTCTCTGTATATGGCTCCGAGCTTGTGAGCTATCCGGACATGAAGAAACTTCTACTTTACACAACAAAGACCCCCAACAATGCTGGAAAGTCCAGGAATAACAGATTTCTGGAAGAGAGACATAGATGGATAAAAATAGAAGAAGGGTTTCTTGGTATTCATTACAATTTATGGATAAATTGGTAAGATCAAGACCACCTTGGTGTCTTTTGACAAAAAATCAATAAGAGAGCATTAAAGAGCAAATATAAACTGTATTTGAATATTGGTAGGATAGGACAGAAGGATGGTTTCATGGATCCCTAACATGGGATGGCCTTTTTGGGACCTATGGAGTTAAAAAAATAACTTAGAAGCCCTATGGCCCACTACAAATAAGCAAGGAATATTATCAAATAGTTAAAAAAGTATTATCAATCAGGCACAGCTGGTGTTGAAAGTGCTTGGTGGGTTAAGGTCATTCTGACCTGGAACTACAAAGCTGAGCAGAATCCTAAGTGTGTGAGAAAGGCTGGCAGTAAAAACCACAGTAAAGCAGGAACTTACTGCCTAGTACCAGGTTGATAAGATAGAGAAATGTGTTTTGGATGTACATGATGGTTAGCAAGGTTGTTTTACTTTCATCTCTGGAATTGTAAATATTAGCATGACTGTTCTGCGGTTTCTGTTGAAGAAATTTTGCTATCTTTGCTGTATATATCTCAAACCTTGCAGCTGCAAAAATTACACTCAGACTTTCACCAAGATCATGTGTGTCTGTCTGTTTGTCACTCGCTGACTCCTTGTCCACTCTCTCGATGACCCTGTTCCCGTCGGACTGAACTGCCCTGGTCTGGGCTGGTCCATCGCACTGGAGAGATGGCTCAGCGGTTGAGAACACTGGTTGTTCTTGCAGCAGACCCAGGTTCAAATCCCAGCACCCACAAGACAGTTAACAGCAGTAACTCTAGTTCTAGAGGATCCGACAACCTCTTCTGTCCTCCACCAGCATTGCACGACCAGTGCACTTACCTACATGCAGGCAATACACAAATACACGTAAAAATTAAAAAAAATTTTTTTCCCAAAGATCCCACATTACTCTCAAGTCTATAACCCACCTCAGCCCCTAGCCTCTTCAAAGCCCTTTAGACAGACTTATTAGATCCAGAAATTTATTACCTTTTTCAGTATGTCACTGGGACAATGCAGGCTGTCACTACCAGGACAAGTACAATCCCAAGCCTCACTCCACCTTTTTAGAATCACCTCACATTAACCAGGGAGACTGGGTCTATCTTAAAACTTTCCTGTAGGATTAAAGGCTACTGGAAGCTCTCTGGATTGTACCCTATTAAGGCCTTTTCACATCTCCAACTGTAGTTTATATATAAGGTCTGTTATCATGGATTCATCTGTCCAAAGTTAAGACTCTTCAACCCCTCAGAAGTTCAAACAGCTATTCCTGTGAACTTCTTAGAGATCTCCATCTCTTCAGGCAAGATCCAGGTGAAACCCACCTTCAAACATCTCCAGACTCCAATGAGTAGCCATGTGTAGTGAGCACCTTTGTCCCTTAAGGAAAACAGCACTCTGTTCACTGTTAGCAGGCTCCTGTCATTTGGACTTTATTGATATAGAGGCTTGAGGAAAGGGCAGTCTGTTCCCAGGATGCTAGGAAGCAGACCGATTGATTAGACAGCTGTCTCTGGGATACCAGGGAAGGTGGGTAGCCCCCCCCTTTATGTTTCTGCATACATCAAAGGAAGTCTTTTACTGTCATGGCCTTGGGCATGCTGTGCTTTTGTTACATTGTGAAAATTCCTATGTGTTTTGCACTGCTTGAGCACTTACATGCAAACTCTGTGAACTTCAAACATTGAGCTTCCAATAAAAATGCTCTCAGAAGGGCAGTGAAATTGCTCATGAGCAGCATAGCCAGGGGATACCTGGTTTACTCTCAGTATTTCAGCACTGGTCAAGTGTGTGTGTGTGGGGGGCTACAACTATGGACTGAGGTCATCATTTGCCTGAGTTATAACTCCCATCTTCACCCACTTCAGTATCACTGGGCTTCTATACAGGGCATAGGGCTTTATCTTCACAATCATCACTATTATTGAGACAGAGTCTCACTATGTAGCCCTGGCTGGCCTTGATCTCAGATCTACTTGCCTTTGCCTTCCAAGTGCTGGAATTAAAGGTGTGCACTGCCACATCTACTGTCTTCATGAAATCACCCTACAGTATCATTTTAAACACTATGAATTTTGTTATTTAAAAACATTTTTTAATGTATATAAGTGTACTGCCTGTGTGTATGTAAGTGCATCCGTGTTGTGCACTGCCCACAGAAATCAGAAGAGGGTGTCAGATTTCTTGGAACTGGAGTTACAGATAATTGTTAGCTGCCATGTGGGTGCTGGGAACCGAACCTGCATCCTCTGCAAGAACAGTCAGTGCTCTTAACTACTGAGCCGTTTCTCCAGCCACGAATTTTGTCATTTTTTA